ACAGCAACAGCAACAGCAACAACAGCAGCAACAACAACAACAGCAACAACAACAACAATAACAACAACAACAACAACAACAACAACAACAACAACAACAACAAATCAACAACGACAACAGCAACAACAACAACAATAAGAACAACAACAAAACGCGGGGGGGAGGAATGCCTGCCCCCCGCCAGCTGACGGCGAAGCGGGGAAGACATCCACACACCGATCTTGCCTGTCCTCAGCAACCCCAGGCCCTGACATGGTGTACACGCCATCCTCGGCGAGGCCAAGGGGGGGACCTTCCACCATGCCGGAACGCACGACGGCATGGCCAATCACGATGGCGGCGCGCACGTGCCCTCTGCGAAGCCCCGGCATCTGGCGCGTTTCGATTCATGCTCGCTGCGTTGGCTTGGCGGCGCTCAAGGGGGGGGGTAGGAGGAGGGGGGAAGGCTTCTTAGAAGGAGGCTGTTTCTTAAGGCGCCAGCCTTACATCTACAGACGAGGCCCGCGCCTTCAAAGAAGCAGGGGCGCTTCTAAGAAGCCATCCCCCCTCTCCCTACCCCCCTCTGCGAGTGGCTGCTGGGCCCCCGGACCTCCCGACCACTTCCTCAGGGCCAGCTAGTCCACCCGAGCAAACTTCTGATGGGACCGAGGCCCCAAAGCCTGGCCTCCATGTGAAGGAGGGCCCAGAATCGAATCGACAAGTCGGATCGAAGTGAATCGGATCGGCAGAACTCGACGGCCGAGTCGGGAGAAGTCGAATGGGAGGAAATCGGCAGGATAATGTGCGTCTCCAGGAAGGACTCGGAGTCCAGATCGGAATCCGGAGTCGAATCGAACCAGGGTCGGAAGCCATCGAAATCGAACCGAACCGCATCGGAGGCATCGCAACGATGCCCTGCACGCGCCAGACAGTGGCGCAGGCCCGCCGCCTCCGACCTGCCCATCGCGCCGGGCGGCGGGCCCTCGGGCCTCGCCCTCGGGTCGTCGAGGCGGCAGCTCGGGGCCACCCGGGCATCCCCCCCCGCAGAGGCTCTCGGCGAGAGCCAGCTGCTCGGCACAATATATTTATTCACGTAACACATCCACCCAAAAATCATTAAAACATAAAATCAATCGTTTAAGTAATATCACTAATCGCCAAATAAACACAAGGACTATCATAATCACTTTGATAAAAATCATCATCATCCCGAAGCAGGAAGACCTCAGGGAATCGGCGAGCGCGCCCGAAGACCTCGAACTCCACAGGGCGGCCCCGAGGCCTCGAGCTCCGCGGCCTCGCTCTCCTCGGCCGACTCCGCGTCGCCAGGCTCCTGCGGGGCGCGGGCTCGGGCGGGCACTCGGGGGCGAGGCTCCTGCCCCGGACCCCGACGCCATGACTGGTTGATTTGTGGACACCGTCGACCTCTTCAAAGGTCTCGACCCCTTCCCTGGGGCCCACCGCGGTCTCGACCCACTCCCCGGGACCGCTTCTCGCCCCGAGGCCCAGTGAGGGGGCGCGGGAGGGAGCACCTGGCGCCTCTGGATGCCGTCTCGGGGGTCTCTTCTGGGCCTTCCGGGGGGGCGTTTTGGGGGCTGTCTTGGGGGTCCCGTGGGCCAGCCTGGGGCCCACTTGGGCCATACTGGGGGTTGTCTGGGGGGGGGCCTTTTGGGCCACCGCGGGGCCCTCGTGGAGCAGGCCCCCAGGCACCGCGGCGCCAGGGGCAGGAGGACGGCGCACGGGCCGCGGAGGCGGCGAGGGGACGGGGACGAGCGACCCCCGCACGTCGCCGCGAAGCTCACGCCGCAGGATCAGCGGGAATCCATAGGAATCCTGGGACATGATCAGGAATCCTGAGGAACCTCTGGGAACCAGGTTGGGCATCCCTATGACTCCTTGGGGATTATGCGGAATTCCTTGGAACCCTCAAGAAGCCTAAAGGATCCTCCACTTCGCGCTCCCCACACCGGTCGTTCCGTTTTTTCCCCCCCCGTCGCCCCCTCGGCCGGGCCGCGTCGACGCGATCGCAGCACGACCCCCGGGCGCTTGAGGAGCGGAACATGTCGGACCCCGACGAGGGGGAGGAGGATGACAACGAGGCCGGAGGGGGGATCGACGTTCGACGTTTGGGATCCGCTGGGGTCCGAAGGACTGAAGTCGGATGATCACGCCGCATCGCCGATGCATCGGCGAGGCAAAACATATGTATCCGCAATGCATCAACCACGTCGGCGATGCATCGGCGACGTCGGAGCGAAGAAAGTCGGGCGCCACGTCGCGTCGTATCGCCGATACAGCGGCGATAAGACGCGGTCCTCCGACCCCATATACATCGACCTCACGTAGAAAGTTTAGACGGCCACCTCTGAAATAAGCAAGCGTTAGCCCGAGTTGACCCCAAACAGTGTGTTGATAGCCATGCTCGCTAAGCGATCTACGTTGCGTTCCTTATGTGGTGCAATATACGTGGCGCAACGTGCGCGGTGCAATCCACGCAATACATTTTTTGTGGAGCAACATATCGGTGCACTGGATTTGGTGCAACATGTGCGCTGTAAGACATACATTGTGCATTGTTTAAATATATGATGTAATCTTATTGATATATACATATATATACGCATGTAAACACGCAGATATACGTGTATATGCGTATACACATTTACAAATACATACACATACACAAATACATACATCAACACATATACATACACACATACCGACAGATATACCGTGAATATATATAAAGACATGTACATAAACATATACATATACATATACATATACATATACATTTACATTTACATTTACATATACATACTTTTATACATGCACACGTACATAAAAATAAATAAATGCATACTCAAACGCAAATACATGCACATATAGATATGCATGCACATATATCTATATATATACACATATATATATATATATATGTATATATACACACATAAACAGACATGCAAACGCATACATACATACGTATATATGTGTATATATGTGGGCGCTGGCCTATCCCCCCCCCCCCCCCCCTGCTGGAATCGATGGTTGCTTTTTTCCAACTAAACTGACGACGTACCACGCGACCTATGAGCGACCACGACGTAGCGCAGGGGCCCCCGAGCAAACCTTCGATGACGACCTGCAAAAACAACAGAGGTAGCGCACACTGCGAGCAGCAGATGGAACTGAGCAGACATGAAAAAATACCGCGCGACCCATGAGCGACCACGATGTCGCGAGCCCCTGGGCCAGGGCCCCGCGCAGGAGCCAGCCTGAGCAATGCGCCCTCACTCCCTCGCCTAGACCTCTGCGGGCGCGGCGTCAGAGCAGCCTGTTATGCCACGGGCCCCCGTTGGCATACGAGAGGCCCTTGAACATGCTCCCCACGTCGTCGCCCACGTTGACGTAGAACACGTACTCCTCCATCTCCAGCGCGTCGAGCTGCAACTGGCCGTAGCGCTGGCGGTTCCACCCCTTCAGCCGAGAGTTTTCAGATTCGGCGTCGTCGGTGTGGAAGTCAGTGGAGGGGTCGCGATAGTTCTCCTCGTGGACGACGGGAGGCGCGCTCTTGTAGCCCAGGGCCTTCACGGCAGCGGTGGTGGACGTCCAGCCGTCGTGGACCAGGAAGGTGCCCTTCTTCACCTTCTCCTCCAACGTGGCCTTGACCCCCCCCAGCCCACGCGGCGCGCCCACCTGCGCATCTGCCGCCCGCGGAAGAAGTCGATAGGCAATCATATTGTTATTCTTCTCGTGCGCGCACACAGTCTTCCCGCGCCCGACGCGGATCGCCAGCCACAGCCACCGCCCAGAATTCTTCAGGTTTGCCGCAGGCTTCTTCGCCACCCTCGCAGCCGCCTTCCTCATGGCTGGCGCCCGCTTCGCGGTGCCCTTCCTCGTCTTCAGGTAGTTCGAGTCGCGCTTAGTTGGCTCCTGGTTGCGATAGACCGCGCGCGCAGGCTGCCTCTTCAGGACGCCCTTCATGACGAGCTTGCGAGTGGAGCGGCGGGTCCTGCGGGGCGCCTGGCGGCGCTGCCTGGCGCCCCGCTGGGATATGCCCTTGTTCTCGACGGCCCACCCGTCCTCCTTGTGCACGCCGATGACGGTCTCATCGACGACAACCGTCTGATTCGGCCCGCCGATCGCGTGGACGCCCAAGGAGACCGCGCCTTTCCCCAACGTCTCCTGGTAGAGCCTCCGCCATGCCAGGAACGCGTTCTTGCTGTAGTTTCCGCAACCCGCCTCGACCTCAGCCTTGATGTCATTGTAGGGCCGCCCCAGGCGGAGCAAGTTCACGAAATGTAAGAACTGCATCCACGAGTTCACCTGCACGCCCTTGAGCCAGCCCTCGGAGTTGAGCTGCACCTCCATGTGCTTGTGCCCAACGCTGGCGCAGGTCCAAGCGTACGCGTTCCCCCCCTTGGTCACGCGGCGCACGAACTTGGCGGGGCCGGAGCACTGGGGGCACTTGTCGCGCGTGCGCGCCACGCCGAAACGCACGAATACAGCGGCGGCTCTCACAGTCAGCGTGTCGGGCACCCCCTCGGGCATGATCAGCGGCCTTTTGACGACGTGCTCAACGAAGGCTGTGTGCGAGGAGAACCATGGGGAGCATAGCTTGCGCTGCCACTCTTGGAAAGCCATAGGCTGCAAGGGCGCGCCGAAGAGGCCGGGGGTCCTGGCCGACTTCGGCATGGCTCGGGGGCGCGCGCTGCTGGGCGAGCTTCGGGGGCGCGGGCGAAGTGACCTCGAGCCAAAGCGGCGGCTATGCGGCAGGGCAGGGGCAGGGGGCGACGACGAATGCTCCTAATTCCGGCGAACCACTATGCCCACTGATCTCTGTCTCTGTGCAAGGCGCCGAACCTTTTCTTCACGCGGGACCGACGGCGCATATATGATTGCAAACATATGCGCGGGCGGCTGAGCAGTCGGTGAGCGGGCGGAGGGAAGCACAGAAGCGGGCACAAAAAAAAAACTACCAGACTCACACGCGCAGCTACTCCGAGAGCGGGACGGCCTCAGGAGACCGAGGCGTCAGAATTGATCTTCGGGTCGACGACGCGTCTCTGCCACGTCTTGCTCATCCCGTCGTCCGTGCTGGCCCCTCCAGCAGGCCCCTTGTCCGCATTGTTTTCCTCGACCGTCTTGGTGCTGTTGGTAAACATGTCCTTGAGGTCCTCGCCGCTGTAGCTCGGGCGAGCGGCCACCTCCTCTCCCTTTGTGAACCTGCGCCAGGCCTCATCCTCCACCGAAGGGGCCACCATCTGTAGTTCGGGCCGCACAACGGCGCGTCGGCGGGTCAGCGAGTGCGCAGGGCGACGGGACACGCCCCGACGATCTCGAGCCTGAACGCCCGCGGCGGCGACTCGACATCGGGTCGGCCCCTGAGACTGCACCGATCTTACATGGGGGCAACAGACGCAGGTACGACAAGGGCGCCCTTGCGATGGCGGGGGGGCTGAGCGACTATCCCTGATTGATAATGACGATGCATTCTTTCTTGCTTGTCAAGGTGGCCTCGCTGAGTTCGATTGTGCCTGTAATCATGGCAAGAGAGACCGCTGCTGGCAGCGCAGCGCGCTGGCCGCCTGGCCGAAGCAAAGATGCGCTAGTGTTTGTTCTCCAGGGCCCGCGAATTACCACGAGGCACGGCGCGTCGGTGACGGTGGCAGCGCACATCGCCGATGACTGGAAACAAACACACACACACACACACACACACACACACACACACACACACACACACACACACACACACACACACACACACTTCGGGGCGGCGGGTGCGCAGCGGTGGGGCGGTGAGAGAGCTCGTGGGCAGGTGGAGTGTGAGAAGGAGCAATGGGGGAGAAAGTAAACGGCCTCGCTGACTCTGTTCCGACCTCAGAGGGGCGCGCTCGGGGGGGGCGCCCCAGGGGCAGCCCGACGCTCCAGCATGTAGTACACCAGGTTGCGGCCCTGCGCCATGTCGAGGTAGTACTCCGCCTGCATCACCTGCACGAGCGCGGGGGCCGCGGGGTCAAAGAGCCCGAGCTCCCTGTTGCTGCACCGCAGGCCGTAGACGTGCCTCGGCGCGCCCGCGCGGGAGGGGTCCTCCACGACCACGACCGAGCGGCCAGAGTGGACCTCCTCGAAAATGAGGTGCTCGTGCACGGGGACGAAGAAGGTCGCGGCGGAGTTGTCCCTCTGGGAGCTGTAGAGGGAGTTGTCGTTGACCTCTTGCATTGTCAGGACTGCCAGGTCCTCCGGAGAGAGGTCCGCCATCGGGGCGCCCATGCCCGCCCACCATGCCGCCGTCAGGAGGAAGTTGCCCTTGTCTGGCACGGGGGTCTGGAGGAGACAGATCTGGGACCCGCAGCCGTGCAGGACGGCAACGCCCAAACGATCGGGCGAAGTGCTCGGCCAGGATTGGATGGCGAATTCGACGCAGGAGGCCTCGTTCGCTGTGGCCACCGCCAGCCGCACCAGGGCCTCCTGCTGAAAGCACGTCGCCAGCGCAAGGCAGCCGTCGAAGAGCAGCACCTCGCTGGCGGTGGCGGCAACGCGGCGGCGGCTCGTGATGAGGACCATGAGAGCGTCGTCCTCCAGCTGGGACAGGACGGCCGCCATCCGACTGTAATCGGGAGACGGCCTGTCGGCGTACAGCTGCCTGTAGGCCGCGAACTCGGCGTGCGCCAGCACGGCGGCCACGCCGTCCATGACCTCGCTGCAGAGCTTGAGGAGCCACAGTACCTGGGCCACGGGCCTGGCTCCATCGAAGATCTTGATGATCTCCACCTTCGCCTCTTCCACTGGGACTCCGAGATACTGCGACAGCGCGGACCTCCACTGCTTGTAGAAGCGGCACACGCGCGCCAGCATGGGGAAGCGGTCCACGGAGTACACGCCCGCCCGCTGCAGGGCTACTTTGAAGAGCCGCGGGTGGCAGCACGGAGCGTCGGAGCCCACATGGTCAGGGAAAGCGACCTCCCTCGCCTCGCGAGACAGCTTCTGCCCAGCAGGCCCGCGCGCAAACTTCCGCTTGTACCACTCCTTCGTCTGGTACGGCACCTGCAGGCTGACGGAAGAGCCCTGGCCGCTGGCCACCCAGGCGTCCTCGCACCTCTGCAGGTACGCCTCCAGCATCTGCTGCCCCCGATCGTCCCCAGTCTTCGCATACTCCATCAGGCCGATGAAATCTGGCTTTTCTGTGCACTTGAAGTCCGTGGCCAGCCTGCCCTCGCGGCCAGTGACATCGCTCATGTTCTCCAGGGTCATGCTGCACCACTCCACGGCCCCGCCCTGCGTCAGGTTGGCCTGGCTATCGACGCGGTCGAACGGGGATCCCCAGTCGCCCCAGCTCCCGAACGCCTGATCGCCCCCATTCGCGACCATGGCTTCGACCATGCTGTCGTAGTTGACCAAGAGCTTCCGCACCGCGTTCGCGTCGGAGCGCTGGAAGAGGGCCACGGGGGACTTCTCCAGAGCATCGACCAGGTTTTGCCTTAGAGGCACGTTTCCTGCCCGCCTGGCGCGCCCCTGGCAAACAAGCGAGCGACGAGAACAAGTACTCCTTCAGGACAGGCTTGGCCGGCGTGGCCTTGTGGGCGGCGACGACGAGCTTCGCGGCCTCCGCGTGGGTCTCGTCCTCCTCGCCGGGCGGAGCATCATGGCCGCCGCTGAGGCGCGTGCCCAGCCACGCGGTGCCCCGAGCGACTCTCGGGCAGACGGCCATCAAGTTGTCCTGCCTGCGCAGGCAGTTGGCGATGGACCCCTCCGCGCTCTGGAAAAAAAGGGCGGCACCAGTTCCGAAACATCAAGCACGACGTGAACCAGTGGGCGAGGAAGGGGTCGAGCTCCGCCTGCGGGATCTTGAGGAACCACCCCTTGGAATGATCCACGCCCTTCGGGTCGTTCACGAACTGCGCGCGGCCTATACGGCAGCAGATGATCCTGCGCTGCAGTTGCACCAGCGCCTTCTCGCTGCCCCCAGAGAACTCGACGGTCGGGATGTTCTTCTAGTTTAACTCCAAATCCTTCTTGGACTCGCCGAACTTGCGACTGCTGTTGAAGCCATAGTTCACGCGGCAGGCGAGCGCCTCGTCCACAACGAAGCGCTTCCAGATGTCGCCCAGGAACGAGGCGCCCCCGTCGCACTCCTGAACCCGCACGGCACTCATGGCCCAGGCGCCCCCCCCCCAGCCTTGCGCCACTCGTTGCGGTCTTGGAAGGCGCCGCAGTCGAGGTAGTGCACGTGGTCGGTACCGAACAGGTGTTCCTGAAGCTGCGACTCGGCGTGCTTCCCGCCTCCGCCCCCGCCGATCTGGAATGTCATCTTTGCGGAGGTCACCTGCGCGAAGGCAAGGTGCAGGGCGGCCAGCTCGAGTTGGAACACGCCGTGGTTGTCGAAGTACAGGCCCTGAATGAAAGTTGCGAGGCGGTCGGCCCAGTCCGCCTCAACGACGCCCTCGGCCTCGAGCTCGGCGGGCGTCCAATAGTACTTCCACGGAACCCTCACGTAGCAGTTATTGTCGCGATGAGCTGGAGCTGGGTCCCACTGGGCGTCCAGGTAGACGTCCAGGCACTTGGCGCCTTTCGACTGCGGCTTCGGCGTCTCGCAGTGCGCGAGGAACAGCTTAGCGAGTGGTGCTCGGAGACTGCCGCTGCCCCACTGCTTCTTAAAGCTGCCCATCATCTCGCCGCAGCGGAGCGCCCAGTTGCCCTTCCAGACATTGTTGTTCGTGGTCTTCTGCAACGCGGCGGCGTGCTCCTTGGCGAACTCACGCAGCCCCTGCATCACGTTCGCAGGGCCGTTGGTGAGAAAGCCTGCCGCCACGGGCTGGACTTGGGACCATTGGAACACCACGCACTCGAACGCTCCAGGGTCTCTGTCTGCGCCGCCGACCATTGCCAACAAGCCCCCCGTAGCGGTGAGCAGTTCCCAGGCGTTCGCATCGAAGCTGGGCGCCTGGTCCCAGCACCCGTCCGAGTACCTGAAGACCTGCTTGAAATGGGCGCGTCAGTCCTCGCCGTCGATGAACAGCAGAACGCAGAGCTTGCGGCGGTTGCTCAGCTGGTTGTTCGAGATCGACGCCTCGCACAGGAACTTCAGGATGGACAACACCGCCTGCTTCCCCTTGCCCGCCGTGGGACATTGGTCCTGCACGGACTTCTGGATCCTGGCCACCTGGTCGAGCGGTGATCCCGATTCGGACACCGCAGGCGCCGCGGGGGCCGCCTGGGGCGCGACGACGCTGGCCCGTGGAGCAGACCCCGACAAGAGAGAGCGCGCCATGGTGGTGGGCCCCTCCACGCGAGGACGCTTTGGAGAGGGCTGATCTGGGCCCTCGGCGTCAGACCCAGCTTTCAGGCGCCTGCGACGGGGCCTGGCTTGCTACGCCGCCTCTCTGCAGAATGTCCCCGAGGGCCTGGGTCAGGGTCTCCTGGGCAGGGGCGCGGGAGTTCGGATTCTCCTCATCGCTGGAGGCCCAGTCCACGGGGCCCACGTTCGACGTGTTCAGGCGGCGGAAGTGGCCCGCCGGCGGCGAGGGGCCCTGCGCCGGGCGAGGCCACTAAGGGGACTGCAGGTGGCCGCGCGGGGAGCACGGGACGACCAGGTTTTGAAACAGAGCGCCTTGAGCCAAAACAGCTGAGGCCAGCGAGCATGTGCGCACATGGTTTGGTCATGATGTGATTATGTTTGTGGGTTCCGCTGAGGCTCCTTCCGTTGTGTTTCCTGTTGCGGCTCTGTTGTGGCTCTGGTTGTGGTTCCTTCATGTGTGTTTCCTGTTGCGGTTCCTGAGTTGATGTGGTTCTTGGTATGTTCTTTGTTGTGGCTCCTGTGGGTGGTTCCTCTCATGGCGTCCTTCTGGGTTCCCTGTTGGTCCCCTGATTCCTGATTGGTCACCTTAAGGGTTCCCATGTGGTCCCCCCCTTTGGCCCCCCCATTGGTCTCCCTATTGGCCCCCCCATTGGTCTCCCTAGTGGCCCTCCCATTGGTCCCCCTATTGGTCCCCCCATTGGTCCCCCTACTGGTCCCCCTATTGGTCCCCCTATTGGTCCCCCTATTGGTCCCCCTATTGGGCCCCCTATTGGTCTCCCTATTGGTCCCCCGAATGGTCCCCCTACTGGTCCCCCTATTGGTTTCCCTGTTGGTCCCCCTTATTGGTTCCCATGGTGGCCCCTTGTGGTTCCCTCTGTGGTCCTTTTTCTAATCCTCTTGGATCCCGTCGTCGTCCCCTCCTGCAAGCTATGGCCCACACTGCCACTTGGTCACGCGGCCCAATGAATGGACACGGGCAGAGGAGGGAAGGTGGTGGCCATCCCTCCACCTCCTGCTGCCCCTGCCCCTGTTCCTGTCGCGGGTCCACCCGGCCGAGAAAGCAGGCCAGCCGCTGAGCAGCTCGCGGACAGCACGTGTCCTGAGGGGAAGGATGGTCTCCTCTGGGACGGCACCGCCCACGCATTTAATGCCATATTTTGTTGTGATTTGTTCCGTTCAAACCATCTCTGCAGTGGCCCGGCGGGCCGGGGCATGCTATTACGGCAGCGCGCATGAGGAGGGGGTGGTAGGTGTCGAGAACGACGACGGCGACGACGACGACGACGGCGACGCCAACGACGACGCCGACGACCAGGACGGCGACGACGACGGCGGCGACAACGACGACGGCGACGGCGGCGGCCGCGGCGGCGGCGGCGACACCGACGACGGCGACGGCGACGACGGCGGCGGCGGCGGCGGCGACGGCACCGACGACCCCGACCACGGCGACGACGACGACCACGACGACGACGATGGCGGCGACGACGGGGCGCATGCAGTGGAGCGAGGCGCGCGCGGGATCTGCACTCAACTCCGATCCTTGCCGGAGCGAATGCGTAGAGTGATAGAACAAGAACGTCTCTTGCCACAAGTGTTTTGCGAAGCCGGAGATGTAGATTGTCAGCATGTTCCCAAAGAAAGTGTGTAGAAATACAGATCAGATTGTCTCTTGCCAGAGCTGCGCGCGAAGCCGAAGATGTGGATCGCCAAGCTCTTGCCGAAAAAAAACGCGTAGAGATATTGAATGAATCTTGCCACAACTCCGTGCGAAGCCGAAAAAATGGAGAACGTCAGCCACTTGCCACGGAAAAAGCGCAGCGATGTAGAACCAGATCTCTCTTGCCACAAGTGCGCGCGAAGCTGAAGATGCTGATCGTCAGCCACTTGCTACAGAAAGTGCGTGGAGATACAGATTGTCTCGCGCCTCAGCTGCGTGTGAAGCCGAAGATGTAGATCGTCAGCATCAGTCGCGGGCGCCCGGCCACCTGGGAATGAGGCGCGCCCAATCCGCGAGCATGGGCGGCACAGGTGCTGGCATCTCTTTGCCCTTCTGGCCGGGCACGGCGCAATCGGAGATGCGCGCTACGACGAAGTACGCGCGCTCGAAGTCGGTCTCCCGCACGAGCGGATACGGCGCGGCCTCCCCGCGGCTGTTGATGCACCGAATCCCGGTCTCCGCCGCGCCCCAGCGGCGCGCGAGGAGGGAATGGGTCGGGGCGCGCCCCTGAGAATTGGGAGCGCCCCACTTCGCGACGACCACCACGAGCCGCCACCCCGCCGCGCGGCACACACTCCACGAGGCCTCGCTGAAGCTCGACGTGGCCCGCGCCGCGAAGAGGCATGTGAAAACCCTCTCGCGGACCAGCAGGCGCAGCGCCCCGACCCTGGCCAACAGGTGGCCAGGCCACTGGGCACTGAGGCAGCCACGATCCATGAACTGATCTGCCAGCCGCCGCGCGTCGACCCAGACGCCGTATTTGGCCGCAAGCGCCGAACTCGCTGCTGCTGCACAGGCGTGCGCCGAGCAGCTGCTCCACGCCCCCTGATCCAGAACCTCGTTGCCGATGGGGCGAGGCCCCTCCGCGCTGCTGTGCTGGGCGGGCGGGCGCGCGTCTGGCTGCTCGACCACCGCCGGCTGCGCCTGGGCGGGCGGGCGCGCGTCTGGCTGCTCGACCGCCGCCGGCTGCGCCTGGGCGGGCGGGCGGGCGGCTGGCTGCTCGACCGCCGCCGGCTGCGCCTGGGCGGGCGGGCGGGCGGCTGGCTGCTCGACCGCCGCCGGCTCCACGCCAGCGGGGGCAGCCGCCCGCGAGGCCTCCTCCTGCTCGACCGCCGCGGGCTCCTCATCCGAAGAGTCACCACCTGCCGGGGGGCGGGCGATGGCGGCCGCCACCCTGGCGCGCCACTCCTCTGGGAGCCCCCCCATCCAGGACTCCACCTTCGACGGCTGCTGGTTCCGGAGAGCACGGATGATCTGCGCTCGGGCGCGCGGGGGTGCCTGCAT